CGTGTGTCTGTTGGTTGTGGAATTTCTGCTCACACAGAGGTACAAGTGACATTCATACCACAAACCTCTGTAGTAATCGTCCTTGGTGTCTCAGAGTTGAAACCAAGTGTTGTTTTAGACGGAAAGAGAAACGATCTCAGTTTATGGTTTTTGCTACACAATATTCTGCAAGTGCAGATTTGCTTTCACATACATATTATGATGATGTATGTTGTAAACTGATCATAATTCAACTTGGGGTTTTAAAATAAAATCATGATGGCAGGATTATAGGTACTTCGAAGTATGATTTTGAATCATGCAGTTGGACAGTCCGGCTGAAGCCGTTCCAAACTTGTGTTAGTATTTTAGCAATCAACTACATTCTAGTGATATGGGTGAGGCATCCTTCAACTATACAGTACAATTGGAAGTTTTGAGCACACCTGCTCTATTCCTCGGCACTGCAAAATGACACCTCAGTCCACTGTATCAGTTTCGACATTTACACAAATTGCTATCACCAGAAAGCAGTACAATGTGCACTGTGGGATATGCATCCTGATGATGTTTGGAAACAGGACAGACAGTATGTACATGTGTGTACTTCAAGAAGTATGTGCACCAAATTTGTAACTCACATACCAACAAAAATTCATCCAGTATTGTTCCCCTAACTGTGTCTGTTTTATAGGAAGTAGGCTGTTGGCGTGGAAATGACAAATGGATCACTTTCAGATGTCAACGATTTTTCATTTTTCATTTCCACAATGTCATCCTAAAATGTATCTGTTGGTCTATGTCCATACCACTGTGTGCTTCTCTCAATTCTCTCTGCCCTGACTTCTGTGCAGAATGCGATCCTGAACGTGTCCAACTTCTATTTTTGCACAACACCCTCCCTGTCACTAACAACCAGCGGCTACAGATGATGAACAGGTGTTCAGTGCGGTTCCAGAAGGCTGTGACAAGTCGGCAGTCAGGTCGAATGTATGACATGCTGTCATACTTCATTGGCCCAAAGTACACCACTGGCATATCTCTGGTTGATGGTGTGAACGTCCAGGCATTCTGCATATTCAACCAAGACCATGAACCAGTGGAGACTGAAGCGTATCCAGCTGATGTATACAATGGTGTATCAGTAGATATGACTGCAGCTAGACGTCATGGTTTCAGTGTTGTGGCATGTCTGGGTGTGAGTGACACTCGGTTACTACGTCATCCTGTTCGTACACCTAACGGGTATGATACTCTTGAGGCATCGGCACTCAAATCTCAAGGATGTTATATTATTCCGGTGAGTTGTAGTGCTAGTGTTTTGCCTTTGATCATGATGTCTGTCTTGATACTTCAGTGCAGGTTGGATAAATAAGTTTGCACATAGGGAGAGTTGTGACGGGTATGACTACGTTCTGTTGCCCAAGTCTCGTAGTACTACTGAATCTTACCCTTCTGGAGACTGTCTTCAGTGACAGATTGACTATCAAGACTTTCATCTCCTGGATGTGCCTAAATGTTGATGTACTGCACCATTTCTTTCTGCACTTGATAGACGGTACTTGAATACGGCGCCCGGTACTCTCAGAAAAGCAGCCACACTATCCCGGATTTGCTGATCAATTATCCGTATCACATCACCGTGTTCAAAGATCTGTTACCCGCCAAGCAGTGATGGACATACACACTGATGTCATAGTCTACATGATGGTAAGTTACAGAGTGTTAGATGTTGTACATGTATCTGCCATGGTGTAGTTTAGTGTTTTATTCTTTCAACTTCATTGGGTGCAATGTCTATAACTGATAGCAGAGCTCTGATATAGTATAGTGGATTTGGCTTCTTTGATGGGAGTGTCATAATCAGTGAGGTATGCGAGTTGTTGGGCGCATTCCTTCGATCTGACCGAACTAGAAAAGCACATCAGCAAGGAGTCGATCTGGCTATATCGTGGTGGTGACCTACCTATGTTGATGAATACAACGGGTAGTGAGACTGGTTAGATGCCCTGTGGAAGACTATAATCCAGGAATTACAGCGTCATGGGTTGAAGATTACGATCAATGTTAACCTAGAAGTAGTGTTACTTCCTCGTTATCACACAAGCAAACCTGTAAACGATCAATACAAATCATACCGAAACCGGGCGCCACGACGCTGTTGTCGTCGGGAAATGGTTAGACAGTGCATGCATACATGCGCACAGTGGTGCAACCTGCACAGTCTGCGTGCGGTCCGCTTTCAGGGGAGAACCCCGTGCGCAGGGTAACGCCAAATCCAACTATCCACCGGTGATAATACAAGATCTCCTCAAGTCTATCAGTAGAAGAATATCCGATATCTTGGCTGACCATGATGTGTTCCAGGAGGCTGTACTACCATAACGGAGTGTGCTGATTAGCAGTAGGTATTGTGAACCCCTAGAGTTGTGTAGTGGACTATCTATTGAGAATATTGACAAATTCCTTTCTGATAGGTTCCTCGTGACTGGTCTGGGGGGGGGGGGGGGGGGGGGGGGGCACAGTAAAAACTGTGATTGGTTCAGCCATGTTTGTTTGGTATTGCGGCTAGTCACAGAGCATTAGTTTTCTTGTTGACGATATGACTTGTTACAGGACCAGTTACTGTTCCCAGGGCCTGTACTACTTATAGGGCCTGGACTGGTCACGGGGCCTGGACTGGTCACAGGGCCTGGACTGGTCACAGGGCCTGGACTGGTCACATGGCCTGGACTGGTCACAGGGCCTGGACTGGTCCCGGAGTCCTACACAGTAAACTAGACTGAGGGCATGTTCGATTGGTAGGATCGGGATCCCGACCCACCGGATCCACTGGATTCGCACCCTTTCGATTGGTCGAATCCGGATATGGATCCTTCGGATTTAGATCCGGTCAACCCACCTCGGGGAGCAGGGTTGGCCGGATCCAACGGATCCGAATGTGACCTTTGTGCGTATATGGCGGGTGAAGATCATTTTTGTACACATTGTGGTACGCATACGTGGATTGAGATAGAGTTTGCTGACTTCTTGTAGGATGTGTGCGATGAGTACGACTTTCACCCTTTTAGGTGACTTGCGAGCGCCATTCTATTACTTCGTCAACATGGCAACAGTCAAGGTCCAAAATAAAGTGTTCAGTTGACTCTGAAGGATCCGACGGATCTGAGATCGGGATCCCGATCCTTACCAATCGAACATGCCCTTAGATATGCAGAAGTCCACAATATCGCTTACTTAATCTTTGCCGCCTGATATCACAGGTCTGATTGACACAGAGCAAGAGTATAGAAGTGGATCATACATGACCAATCAAAAATCAAAACGTATATAAACGGAGAATTCTACTGTCCAGAACCCATCTACAGAGTCACACATTCTGCTTTATGTACTCTTGCCATCGTAACAGTATGGAACAGAGATGCATGAACATGTAGCTAGACAGGTCGAGAAAGAAACTTGACAACCACCATGGAGAGTGGAGTGCGCTGTGTAATACTTTCCCGATCACAAACAATTGTATTTGCTGTTTGTGTGATTCTTCTGTGTTCTCTCAGATATCTCTGAACAGCAGGATACTATGCCGAGTTGTGCCGTGAGGAAGTGTGTGATATCATGTGAGACTGGAATATGAGGTCCGTTTTGTGATTACTAAGAAAGTTCTGGACATCTCTTTTTGTCTTGTGATTGAAGTTTTCATTTCTTCGATTCCTTGCCACTTTTCTGCTGAGCTGATCACTGAGGAAGTAGTTGGTGCTGCCTCTTGTTGAATTCCACTCCATTCGCTGAGTAACCGAGTAACTGAGTAACTGAGTAACTGAGTAACTGGGTAACTGAGTAACCGAGTAACTGAGTACATCCGATGTGAGAGTGTAGTGTTGCTAGTGCTAGTGTAGTATGCATGTTAATTGTGTTTTTGAAATCAAGGCATTGTTGGGTTTGTGCGTAAGTGTTTGCGTGTCTGTGCATTCAATTCTTTCCCTATTTTTATCTTTGTGCGTGCTTGTACAATCATGTACCTTGATTTTATTATTGTGAATCCTCCACATGTGTGTTTTCCGCTTCCATTGTCCATAGTACACGTAGTACATGTAGCATCTGGAGTAGCCAGGATCCTGATTTTTGACTGAGCTACATGTTTAAAAGGTAGTAGCGTCTGCCGTGATCTGTGTGTGTGTGTGTGTGGGGGGGGTTCTGTAAGGCGGCACGAACCATGTGAGATCGGATTTTGACCAATCACGTGTATTGCAGCCTGGTGACGTGGCTTGTCCGTATGAGGATTAACATAGAACTAACATAGACCGATCCTAGCAAGGGTCCTGACCTGCCTCTCTTGTTTCTCATCAACAAATCACTTCAATCTACATGACATACTGTCGTGGGCATGGAAATCCAGTCGATTGACCGGGGCTGGCGCCCTCAGCGCGTACAGAACGCTGCGTGCAGTGCACATGTTCATCCGATGCGACCAGCACGCTGAAGCGCATAAATGCATGTGTGTATCCCTTATCCACGGCTGCATAGCCAGAGCCCTGGGGCCGGTAGACGCGCGACCAGATTTCCATGTCCACGGCAGTACATGTCATGTCATGTAGTACGGATGTCCAGATATCACTGCTGCTCGGTTCTGAATACTGTTTCTGTCTTTGATCTCGTATTGAAAAATAAGTAGATCTACCGGGGGGGGGGGGGGCAGGGGAGCTATCCGGATGAATACATGATAACCGTAATGTCCGGAGTGCGGCTTGTGTTTGGGGCAGCGCGCTAGCGGCAACTCAGCAGTCAGAGAAAATCATGCATGCAGTTGCACCGGACTGTTATTAGTACTGTGTTAGTGTTATGTGCAGACCGTGTCCGTGGGGTTTGACACGTGAGTGATGACGCGTATGTTATCAAAAGTCTTTTTGCAAATTTTGGCCATTTGCGCTAAAAAAAAACGATATAAAAAACAAGAAACAACAAGAGCACCTCGATCTCGCCTTCATCGTATCAATACGTATTGAGTGTAGAATGTAGATCTACCAGCTAGCGTGTTGCAACACGCTTTTGACTGTTGTTATGCTAAGGTCAGAAAGGACTTAGTGCACTCGCTGGTTTATATCATCAGTTGAAGAATATTCCTTATCCTGGCGTCGATCGCAAAGAAGGTGCACTATTGGCTACTGACGTGGATAATAGTTTGTTACATTCACAACAGTGTTGCTGTGGTAATCCGCGCAGTGCTGAACCTCTCTAGTAACTGTGCAACTGTATCATACGGCTATCAAAACTTACTGGGGTAAGAGAATTCTGTATGTACAAAAAAGAAGATGCATGACTGACTAGTACATGAATGTTGAAGAAACAATACTAGTAGTTGACTGCGGGGCTGAGTGCGTTCGAGCAATTGTTTTCCTGATTTCAATGAGGCAATATGTTGTGTATCGGACATGCATAATGTTACCACCCTATCCGACTTTTCAGCCGACGAAAATATCGAGAGGTTTTAACAACTCCTAAAACTACTGTAGTAGAGAACGAGTTCGTGTACATGTAGGTGACTCGTTTACCCATCCTTAGTTAGGCCAAATAATAATTGCCAGGGAATTTCGATGTGGTTGACTGAAGTTTGTTTTCGAGTCAAACAACACGTGTACATGTAGTTATAAACTGACTGAAGACAAGACAGGTGCAGGATGTGCTCCCGCGAGAAGTCGGGCTTTCCGCAATATATTGGTGACTTTTCAAAACCTCGGTCGAAATATTTTGGGGGGGGGGGGGGGGGTGCACTTGCCCCCTGTGCCCCTCGCCAAGCACGCCCCTGGGGCCCTGTCAGGTTTCAGGTGTGATGTAAAATTAGGTGACCAGCCCACCCTTCATATACAGCGAATACGCTATTGCCTTTTAGGTGCCTGGTTTCTCTACCGAAATGACGGAAATTTAGGGCTCACAGTACGTATGCTGATAGCCAGTGGACATCAGCGCCATTTTGATTTGGGGCACTCAAGTTCACGTGATCCTTTCGCGTGCGGAGCTGTATGCAGTTCTGTGCTGGCGTGTAGTCTCTGATCTATGTGCAGGCTGCAGCATGATGGAGCTGCTGTTTTTTTGCTCTGTCGACAAACAAAATTTCCGACAAGTAGCTAGAAGATGGCATATGGAGAAGCTTGGGAGGCCTTGATCTTTTCTGTAGTTCGGGAGATGGACATCGAACATTACAATGGTAGTTCTCCGTGACTTACCCTTGGTACTGAGCTGTGGCTAAGGTGAAGTGAGGGACGAACTACCCAAAAATATCGCAAGCCTACAAGCGCTTCGGGTCACTAATGCCCGGGAAGAAATTGATGAAGAGTACTAGTCTGCCACGACGATACTCCACAATAACCAGCTCACACTCGGCTCTACCCACACCTGACCATGGATTTGGAAGGCCCTAAGGAAAGGAGTTCGTTCCACTGCGCAGTGAACGAAACGGCAGGTGAGCGAAGAGTTGTGCACGCCGTCGCGTAATCTTTGTAGTTTGAGCAAAGATCTGCGGCGGTTCGCACGACCCTAGGCAAACAGGCCACGAACAAGCCGTCCATCCACGATCAGAAAGTAGTTGCAAGGTCCTTTCCGGGAACGTTTGCAGAGCTGATTCCATGAAGAACAACATGAGCGCACAAAACAAATCACTCGAACACGGCGCTGATCGCCTTGCGAGGTGACCAACACGTATTTTAGGTAAGTGAGCTTTTCTGGAATGCAAAGCGATGTTTTCCGCACGCAAGGTACAGGAAATCTGTGGTGGTATGCGTGACAAGGTTGCGCATCATCATTATTTTTTTCTTGAGTTGCCGTTTTCTGTCATGTCAGCTTGCGCACGGTCTTCTTCTTGACCTTGCGCGCTTCAAAATGTAAGAACTGCACAATGGTTGCTCCGATTTTGACGATCTATGGCTCAAAATTTTCTTGAGGGACCTGGCCAGAGGATTACCGAGCCATATTTTTGGTTTTCACCGAGCTTGTGTCATCGATTCCCACAGATGTTTGTCCCATCGAGGGACGAAAATCCACAAAATCCCGTTCGTGGGTCTCAGAGCACGGATTTGAAAAAATCGTTCGGTAATCCTGTAGTCCTTCAGCCAAGGAATCCTCCCTGAAAATTTCATGGCTCTCCGGCAAGTCGATCTTTAGAACGAATCGATAGAAGATTCAAAAATTATTCAAAATTCCAAGCCCGGTGATTGGCTGAAACACGGTTTTCACTGATCACGCCAGCACCTCGTGGAACAAAATGGCGCTGATGTTGAATGTACGCAACTGTGAGCCCTAAAATTAAGGTTACACCGAAATAAACGTGTTATACAGCATCTGATCTGTTGTATGTGGTGTGTATGTGGTGTGTATGTGTCTGTGTGTGTCTGTGTGTGTGTGTGTGTGTGTGTATTTTGCGCTGTGTGTTATTCTCTGCTGACTGGCAGTACTTATCTTCTGACATATTCTCAGGAATCCACACCACACACTGTACGCTATACACCCGTGTACTACTGAATATACAACATCACCAGGAGAACATGTTTGCTTCAAAGTTACATGGCAATCTCAAGACTGTCAGTAAGTTTGTTCAGCGTGGTTATGCTGTGAGTGTACAGAGCCGGTTAGTCCAGTCAACCAGCAGATCAAGGTTATGTGTTACTAGTAAGGTGACTCAGACATCAGCACAGTCCAGGCAGTCAGTTAGGTGGAGATCAGATCAGTCTGGTCGTCAAGTCACTACGGTACATGATGCTGTTGATGCCATTAGATCAATCTTTGATAGCATTGTGAAGTCACGCACTTTTCAACCAAGCTATCTACTATCACAATGTTCTCTCATTCAACGACATGTTACTGAACTACGCTATCCAAGCAGGATTAAGGATATCCTGCAGGCATGTGCTCTTGTCAATGAGGAGAACACTGACGTGACCACACTGGCAGTATCTGCACTGAACCAACTAGCCAGTCTACCTACTGAAATCTGGCAAGAAAGCAAGAACCAACACAACCTGATATGGGCAGTGTACTGGGCTGCAAAGTGCCGATGTTCAACTCCAGGATTCACAAAGTTACTACAACAGCAGCTTGATGTCATGTGCATTGAGGAATGTAGAGCTGTTGATCAGTGTGCACATGCATTGTTTATGTTAAATATGCCTGATCGTCACCTGGCCCAACACTTGATGAATCGCTACCTTACCATCCAGAGTACAGGTGATCCCAAGCATCGTCATACTGAAGTACTGAGACTACTTCTCTACTGTACACTGTGTGGTTTAGAGTGCAGTGCCTTGCTGGAGCTGATCAGTGTTGATCAACTGATACAGAGTACCGGTAAGTCTATTCCAGAATAAGACCTCTACTAAAATAGAGACTTGTGGTCTGCTGGTGGTGGTACGAGTATTTCCTTGCAGCACGAACTTTCAATGCACATCCACACCAATATCCTGTATGTTGTCTTTATGTGGATAATAAATCACTATGTGTTATTTTCACGCAATCTGAAGATTCCACATTGCCTGCGTAATCTGCAGATTGCGCACGCATCCTGGGGTGACACGGAAATATTTGTGGCGCCAGACCAGGTAAATCCTCGTCACTGACCTTATGGGATACTTCTGGGAATACGCCCAAGTACATGAACGTGTGGTGCAAAATTCACGTGTGTGGTTCATGAAATCTGTGGGTTTTGCTGAGAACCTGAAGAGCACAACAAATTCATGTGGGGCGCAATCTGTGGACTTTGTTGAAAACATGACGAGCACAGCGAATCCGTGTGGGGCGCTATCCGTGAATTTCACTGAAAACCATGATCAGCACAGAGAATCCATGTGGGGTGCAGTCTGTGGGCACATTCTGTGGTTTTTGTCACAGTGTGTACTGCTAAGGAAGGTATGCTTTCACATACATAATGGTGTTGGGTGTTTTAGAGTGTATGTTGAATGATTCAAACTTGAATTTCCAATGAAGTTGTCATGGCAGGCTTAGGTTTGATATTGAATCATACAAAAAGAATAGAATGGGATACGGAGCTTGGGTTGGCTGTGACTCAGAGTTTCACGCCTGTGGCGATCATCAGACAGCAATGATTACAAAAACTCAATGAATGTTCTTGATATAGTGTGGTAAGGTGCTAGTGGAATCAGAGAATTTAAGGGCAAATAAGGTGAAGCGGTGATTCTATGCATGTACTTGCAAGATCAGCGCCAGACATCAGGTGTAATGCTGGTTTATGTAACTGGAGGTGTGAAGTTAGATAGGTAGAATTTGTATTCAATCATATACAGTGAAACCTGTCTAAGGCGACCCCTCAGGGGAAGAGAAAAAGTGGTCGCCATGCCGGGCCAGGTGGTCTTCTTATCCAAGGTCAGTGGGTCACGTGACCATATCCACATGTGATACATCATTTTGATCAGTGTATCACAGTGCACACGCCTATGCTACTCTAGCACTACTCATGTGCCTGGGGTCCTCAGACCTGTCAAGTGTCGTGCATGCACCATGTACTTGAAGTACGTCTACACTTCCTGCCTGCACTGATGCGTAGATCTACCATGCATGGTGCACTATGCAATGCGTACATTTACATGTACTAGCACTGTGCACAGCGGTCGCGGGTGGGTGGTCGTTGAGCGAGTGGTCGCCTTATCCGAGCTGTTTTGAATGTGAATGCGTCCCGTGAAAACGAAAAGTGGTCGCCATATCCGAGCTGTTTTGAATGTGAATGTGCCCGTGAAAAGGAAAAGTGGTCGCCATGGTCGAGTGGTCGCCTTATCCGAGCTGTTTTGAATGTGAATGCGTCTGTGAAAAGGAAAAGTGGTCGCCATGGTCGAGTGGTCGCCATATCCGGACTGTTTTGAATGTGAATGTATCCGTGAAAAGGAAAAGTGGTCGCCATGGTCGAGTGGTCGCCTTATCCGAGCTGTTTTGAATGTGAATGCGTCCGTGAAAAGGAAAAGTGGTCGCCATGGTCGAGTGGTTGCCTTATCCGAGCTGTGTTGAATGTGAATGCGTCCGTGAAAAGGAAAAGTGGTCGCCATGGTCGAGTGGTCGCCATTACAGGTTTTACTGTAGGACATCAGTACGGTCGTTCAGTTTTGTGCAATGTTATCGCATGAGCTGATTGTCAAGTAACTGGTGGTGTTAGTGGACAATATAGCATAACTTGTAGTTCCTTGGTCATTTTCTTTACTATAAATATAACCAAGAGTGTATAATTTTAAGTCTCGAGTACTCGAATTGAAGGACATGTCCATGTATCCGGAACATTTGTTTCCGGGCAAAACATTTTTGTGTCTAAGAGCATGTCCCTGCATGCGCGTGAATACGATATCTATGTATGCACTGGATTGAAAAATGCGACCGATTAAACATATACTCATGGCAACTTGAGTAGCATACTCGTGCAAAGCCATGTATGTTTGTAAACAGGACAGACATTATGTACTTACGTATGTATACAGTATTATTAAGTCAGACACCGACGATGACTCATGTAGTGTTCTGACTTTTGAGTGTGAGGAGTAACACAAGTAGATTTGGTGTGAATATGACCAATGATCACATCCAATTGTCAACTACCGCTTGAAATCTTCATTTTCACATTCTGAGATATTGCTGGTCTCTGTCCATACCACTGTGTGTTCCTCTCAATTCTGTCTGTCCTGACTTCTGTGCAGGATGCGGTCCTCGCCATGTCCAACTGCTATTATTGCACAACACCCTCCCTGGTACTAACGACCTGCGGCTACAGATATTGGAAACATGTTTGGTGCGGTTCCGAAAGGCTGTGGCAAGTCGGTATTCAGGTCGAATGCATGATATGCTGTCATACTTCATTGGCTCAAAGTACACCACTGGCATTTCTCTGGTTGATGGTCTGAGAGTTCAAGCATTCTGCATATTCGACCGAGACTATGAACCAGTGGAGACTGACGCGTATCCAGCTGATGTATACAACGGTGTTTCAGTAGATATGACAGCAGCTAGACGTCATGGTTTCAGTGTTGTGGCATGTAAGGGTGTGAGTGATATACAGTTACTACGTCATCCTGTTCGTGCACCTGACGGGTATGATACTCTTGAGGCATTGGCACTCAAATCTCAAGGATGTTATTCCGGTGAGTTCCAGTGCTAGTGATTTGATTTTGATGATGTCCGTCTTGATTCTTTAGTGACAGTGGGAACAAAAGAGCTTGTGTGTCACGGCTGTGTTGCGGGTTAGTGACCTGGCTTAGATCAGTCTACTGGGTACCCAGACTCCCAGGTAGACGACCAATATATTCGCCATCCAAGTTAGCTAGCTCACACAGAACAACAGGTTTCTAATTCCACTGTCTTGAACCGCGCTTATTGAACTATTGCTATGCTAGATCGAAAGATCAGCGTGAAGAGTCAAAGACCCAGACAGAGCAGGGGAGAGTCGGAGTGACTCTCCCAGGATCAAGAGTGAATCGAGGGAGTAGTGAGCTCCCCAAGAGTCGAGGATGAATGTCAGCAAAACAGCTCCTTATATATGCTACAGGGGTCGTCCGCAATTATCGAAAAATTAAAAAATCCGTCCTCGTGCAAAATTGTCTCTGACCCACCCACCCACCTCCCATTTTTTTCCATTTTTACCGATGCCCAGCTCGAAAATCATGTGAGGGCCATCGCTCTGGACAAGCCTACATGGAGAAATCTGGCCGACAATCCATGATCTGGCGTCACAGGTCATCAGTGCGCCGTGTTAAAGGGGAAGTGCATCGATTTTTCAAGTAGGGCTCAGATGAAAAACAATTGGATATCGGTTCCGATGGTATATCTCTCGCTTGCATACGGCAAGGGAAACTTGCCATATTGCCGATTTCCTGATCCCGTTTCCATGGCGACTACAGGTGATGACGCACATTCTGCTTAGCTCCGTGAGAGAGAAGGTCGATCACCGCAGAATTGTGTCATTTTCAGTTGTCTTCTTGTATTCACGAAGTGAAAGAAGTACTGTGTTCAATGCAGTTAGTGCCGTGAACTGTTTATTAGTAGTCCTATCCGTTGTGTACTGGGACGTGACACCGACAGGGGAAAGCTGCAGTGCGGAGACGTAAGCTGGCAAGCGAAAATCGTGACGAACCAAGTGCTGAAATCTTGGTTGGGACAAATCAAACGTTCAGCATTTACCTCAACCAAGGACCATGCCGTTTGCTCTTTCCACTTCCTGAAGATGGATGCGCTGCCTGCTGGAGACTCTCCGATCTCCCGTAACATCTTCTGAAGCCAGGTGAGACGACGAATAGCGGAGATTAGCGAACGAAATAATGTCGTATGTTTTGAAATTTTGCTGCTCAGGAGAGATTGCGTTATATGAACTTAGTCCATGTGAACTCAATCAGCCCATGAACTAACCCATGAACAAATGCTTTCCTTGCAGACGTGCATGTGTCTATCCAATCTACACGTAGAGATCATTCCATGCCCTCAGTGAATGGCCTATTTATATATTATTTGTCCATACACTTCATCTGCATGTTGTCTCTATGGAGAAGGGTATTGTTCATTTCATATGAAGAATTTCGGCCAATAGATGCTTTCCTCTGGTACAATTCTGACCTGATGTTCTTTCTAGCTTCATGGGTAGCTTAGGTGAGGTACCATCACCATCATGTTTCCATGAGGGTCAAACACTGCACCGTTCTTTGTTGTGACATGACGTAAGTTATTGTAAGTGCTCGCAGACTCCATACATTCCAGCAACACCTAGCATGGTTTTCCGTCAACGTTGTGGGTGAACAAATTCCTGTCCAACATATTTATACAGACATGCCAGCACACACCATGCGCCATACACACACTTGCCCTGCCCTGTCGAGTCACAGCCACGTGGGCCCGGATGGGCAGGGGAGAGAGAATGGGAGAACGCCGCCCCATGGCGCCCGGGACACAAAAACAAGAGTTTGTCCGGCTACGTAGGGAACAACACACATACATACACCACACACACACACACACACACACACACACACACACACACACACACACACACACACACACACACACACACACACACACACACAAAATGAGAGTTAGGGTCATCTGCCACGAGACTGACGTACGGCCGGGGAGAGCTTCAGCAGCGGTGTCTATTTCTGCCCTGGACTGAACGGAAGCAGCGGTCGCGGGACACACAGTATTCACCACAACACGGCTCCACTGTTGTTGGGGGCTGAGCCACACACTTGTGACGGGCAAGAACGCCACAGCAATCACACTGGCATGCTCCACACTGCTCCGGCACACACTCTCTCCCTCTCTCTCTCGCTCTCTCTCCCCCTCTCTCTCTCTCTCTCTCTCACACACACACACACACTCTCACACACACACACACGTGCGCACATACTGCAAGAAAGAAAGAGAGCATGAGTGTCATATTCTTGCATAGGAAGTGTTTATCAGCACACACTTATACATGCACATGCAGGCACTCAACGACCAACTATGCACCATGCCGTATGTTCGTCAAACATAAGATTGCAATACCAAAGAACAACATAAACAAGATCACTTACTTCGTTCTCCTCCAAGTGTGTCCTCCCCAGCCATTTCCCTTGGCGGAATGTAGCCTACGAAATGGTTTCTCTAGACTAGGAGAAGATGCTTGGTATTCGCCATCTCTCCTGAGAAATGTTCAGCGAAAATTTCAAAACAGACGACATTATTTCGTTCGCTAATCTCCACTACTCGTCTCACCTGGCTTCAGAAGATGTTACGAGAGATAGGAGAGTCTCCAGCAGGCAGCGCATCCATCTTCAGGAAGTGGAAAGAGCAAACGGCATGGTCCTTGGTTGAGGTAAATGCTGAACGTTTGATTCGTCCCAACCAAGATTTCAGCACTTGGTTCGTCACGATTTTCGCTTGCCAGCTAACGTCTCCGCACTCCAGCTTTCCCCTGTCGGTGTCACGTCCCAGTACACAACGGATAGGACTACTAATAAACAGTTCACGGCACTAACAGCATTGAACACAGTACTTCTTTCACTTCGTGAATACAAGAAGACAACTGAAAATGACACAATTCTGCAGTGATCGACCTTCTCTCTCACGGAGCTAAGCAGAATGTGCGTCATCACCTGTATTCGCCATGGAAACGGGATCAGGAAATCGGCAATATGGCAAGTTTCCCTTGCCGTACGCAAGCGAGAGATATACCATCGGAACCGATATCCAATTGTCTTTCATCTGAGCCCTACTTGAAAAATCGATGCACTTCCCCTTTAATAATTATCTTGATAATGCAATTTGATCATAGGAGATAGGACAGAAGCGGAACGTATAATTATACCCACATAATTATATTATTACGCGTGCTGTGGTATTATTGTTATTATCCAGCTCGAAAATAAGAACTCCTGACCCCATGTTCGCTGATTGCACCTACACACGTACATGTACATGTATGTCAAGTACTAGTAGCTAAGTAAAGTGAGTAGGAGATCTACCGACAGCCATGCTCGTCCTACAACTACAAATGAGTCATGTACCGGTATATCATACTGGTGTTTGCGATCCTACACTACGTCTACAGTGCACTACATGTCAGTGCAGCAAGTGTATGAAAGTCACTGAAGAAAAAAAAACGTACGAAAAATCAAAACAATTAAATTCCGCCAGCGCTCTTGACCACCCACCCCCTTTCTGCCTGAGGACGGATTTTTTAATTTTTCGAAAAATACGGACGACCTCTTATGTGATCAAAACTATACAGTGGCAATAATGCGTAAGGATTTTTTCTATACTTCAAACAGTGGTGCAATCAGCCAAACTAGAATGTAGTACAATGATCAATGTGAATATTAATCAGCTCCATATGGTAGAATTACATTGGTCCGCGATCCGGTGGTTGGGATGCGAGAAGCGTAGCTGTGTCATTCTTGTGGCTTCACCCAAGGCGGGCTCTTCCCCCAAACATAGCAGCAGACGGCAGAGCCGCTTTCCCACCAAAAGGGTACGGAGTCCACAGCACACGAAGCACTGCAGACCCTTTACGTCGTACGGCGCGAGAAGAGGCGCCACTCTTGCTCAACTAACAAGGGTATCAGCTCCCTTGCAGGACCAAGTGTAATAACTGGCCCTGGAGGCAATCGCACTCACTAACTCAAACACTCACTTCGTAGTTTACCAATATTATCAGGAAAGAAATAGTATACACACTTGGAATGCAAAGAGGGTAGAAAGGCAACAAGAAAGAAGAAAGCAAGGGAACAAAGGTCCGGGAACCGGCAGCCATGTTTTAGGTTATTAACCAATAAGCAATCTACGAAAACCGGTTGCCGACGAAATTCTGGAAACTTCTGGAACATTAGTATAATCAGCCAATCACAGGTCACAGCTCTGGAACATTCTGCAACATTAATACTAGCAGCCAATCACAGTTCGCAACAGACAGTCATACGGGTAAAGTGGAGAAATACGGGTTTAGCCATACACGCCTCATACATTGCTCGCAAGCGACTCACGGCAAGGGTAATAACATGCAGATACAAAATACGCAAGGAGAGAAAAATGTAACTAACTGCCCATCTTAGGGTTCGAACCTAGGAATCTGTATCCACACAACCTCTACAAATTAATACTCTTAACTGTGAAAATATACTTGCTATCAAAATGCAACTCCTACACTAGCGTGGTCCCCTAAAGCTCAACAATGTAGCGAGTACAACGCTGACGACTTGTTGTGCACGCATGGTCATGTGTACAGGTTTCCTGCATTCATGTCTGGAGTAGTCTGACTGTCATGTTCATTGTCGTGCTGTGTTACGGTCACGCGAGTCGGCATCTTAGTGCACGACAATGCTGTCTGCTTACGCTCTCTTTGTATTCATTCATGTCAGGCGATAGAGCGGCCCTCATTTGCATGCTTCGACGGGTCCGGGTCTCTGGTTTCACATGTGCCGTGCTCGGCCTTCTGTGCCTTTATGTTGCCCTGCTGTATATTATACCATGGTGCTTTTCCTTTCGGCTAGTCTTCAGTAGTCTTCTTCTTTAGCAAGTTAGTTGGAAACACAATAACAAGGAAGTTTGCAATGCGAGTTGAGCCTGAAGTGAGCCTGAAGAATACAGTCTAGAAATAGTAGAATCCAGTAAAGCGAGCCAGACAGAGAGCTGGCCACTTGTACTGAAGGTGTCGTCGACGTACGACAACACTTGGTGGCTCTCTGCCATGAGTTGTAAGCCATGATTGCTCAACTATCAAAAGTACCAAATCCTTCGCAGGGCGAATCATGGTTCTAACAGAACTCTAGAATATTTCGGAGTCCAGCTTTTGGCTTTCTGAACTCAATCTATGGTTGCTTTCACGACGAGTCTAATCCTGGTCATGACATGTACACAATGAGAGTTTGGAGTGTTTTTACTGCCTCCTGTTGCACTAGTCTCGTAGTACGACTTAGCCTCACCCTTCTGAAGATGATATTCAATGACGGATTGACTATAGAGACATTTATCCCATGGATGAGCTACACTTTTGAATTACACCACTATTTCTTGCTCTCTTGATAGATGGTACTCAAACATGGCGCTCGGTACTCGCAGAGAAGCAGACACTTTATTCCGGATTTGCTGATCAATTATCCGCATCACATTGGCGTGTTCAAAGACCTGTTGCCGGCCAAGCAGTGATGAATATACACACTGATGTCATACTTAACACTATGGTAAGTTTACAGAATGTTTGATGATGTATTTGTCTAGTTTCGTTCTTGCAGCATCGTTGGCTGCAATGTCTAGTTTGAAAAGAGAAATAAAACTGATCGCAGAAGTATAACATAAGTACATGACACAAACAGGGCAGGCAGGGCAGCTCGAAGTAGCCGTGAACGCCGCTGTCTGATGTTTGCTGAAATGTGTTAAACTTGTACAGCTTCACAGCCCTTCGTCTCTAGTGTTTGTCTACATAACAGGACATGTATACAGTGTCTGCTCTAGGATTGTAGGACACGTGTACCTGGCGCAACCATTTCAACCGGGTTGGAGCCGGGTACACATGTACCTGGCGCTGTCTCACTAGCCGAGTCACATGCTTTAACTGGTTGGTTGGTTTATTTTAATTCGGACAATAAACGGGAACTAGGCCCAATGATATAAAGGCGAATGGCTAAGCCGCATTGAGAAAAAGAGAGGACAGGAATTAGAAAATTACGAAAGAAGAAGAAGTATCTGACACATACAAGCCATGTAGTTAGTCCTTTCAAAGTTCGAAAGTGTAAAGTACCAACCGGGTCACAGGTTACCCGGTACTATCTTATCAACCGGGTGCAAGCGCCGCCCAACCGGGTGGATTACCCGGCTCACCCGGCGCTGGAGCAGACACTGGTATATGGTAATGGAGACTGTAATTAACAGCATGTTAGATTCTCGCTTCGGATGGATTTCTTGTACTTGGTAATGGACCACACTCGAAACCGTGATTGGTTGTTGGTTTTTGTGGCTGGATGAAAGGGCATATTAGACTGTATGACTGGTTGCAAGACCTGTAACTGTTCACAGGGGCCGGACTGTTCACCGACGACCGTATTTACTGACTTGACTTTGCAACTAAGTGAATGGGCTGAAGTGTTATTTTGTCGTGAACTGAATTTTTGACATCATGTTTCATGCACAAGTAAATGTACTTGCAAGTACATGTACGTTAAAAAAACTGCTCTCGCAGGTCTTATTGATACAGGGCAAGTTTAGAAAAGAGGGTCACGGCTTCCATGACTAATCAAAATAAAATGTAAACGAGGAATTCTGCTGGCCCCAACGGTTCCAAACCCATCTCCAGAGTTGCACACTCCACTGCATCATGTACTCTTGCTGACGTTACAGTCAGTATTAAGCAGAGATACACGTACATGTAGCCAGCCTTGTCAAGAAAGAAACTTGATAACCGCCATAGAGAGTGGAGTGCGCTGTGTAATACTTCCTGATCTTAAATAATTGTAATTGCTGTTTGCGTGGGTCTTCTGTGTTCTCTCAGGTATCTCTGAACAGCAGAACACTATGCCTAATTGTGCAGGAAGTGTGTGATAATAATATCATGGGAGACTGGAATATGGTGTCCATCTTGTGATTTTTGAAAGTTATTATTTCTCCGATTCCTTCCTTTTTCTGCTGAGCTGAGTAACTGAGTACATCGGATGTGAGAGAGTAGTGTTGCTAGTGCTAGTGTAGTATGCATATTGATAGTGTTTTTGAAATCAAGGTGTTGTTGAGTGTGTGCGTGTGCGTGTGTGTGTATGTGTATGTGTGTATGTGTGTATGTGTGTATGTATGTATGTGTGTGTATGTGTATGTGTGTATGTGTGTGTGTATGTATGTGTGTATGTGTGTATGTGTGTATGTGTGTATGTATGTGTGTGTATGTGTATGTGTGTGTGTGTGTTTGTGTGATTACTTTACTTCCAATTTTCTTTTTTTCTGTTCTGAGTGCGTATACAATGTACATGTACCGTTGATATTGTGAATCCTGCACATGTGTATTTAGCTTCCATTGTGCGTGAGTGTGTGTGCTTGTACATTTAATTCCCATGAAGTTCGTTTTTCTTTGTGCGGGCATATAAGTTGATATTGTGAATCCTCCACATTTGTGTTGTTCCTTCCATTGTCCATACAACATGTAGTACATGTAGCGTCTGGAGTAGCCAGGATCCTGATTCTTGACTGAGCTATGCAAAACACGTTAAAAAGGTGGTAGCGTCTGCCGTGATCTCTGTGTGTATGTCTGTATGTGTGTGTGGTGTGTGTGTGTGTGTGTGTGCGCCGGTGTGTGTGTGTGTTCCGTCAGGCCGGCACGTCATGTGTCGGTGACAGGAGGACAACGACTAAAAGACTCTCTCTGAGCTGGCATTCCCCCATGCGTGGGTCGATTCACCCGTGAAACGGGACTAAGTACCAGCACATGCACAGCTAGCTCAGCAAATTTATGATGAATTTTGATGTTGATGAAGTACACCATGTAGCCGATGAAAGAAACAAACATGTGGCGAGATTTCTGTGCTGAGCTCTCTTGTTTCTCTGGGTTGTTTTTATGTGAAAAAGAGAAGAAACACATGAGAACATCTATTACTGGCTCCGAGTTTATATTTTATGTGTATGCTGATGTGTGACGGTGTGGGTGTTTTCTGTAAGGCGGCACAGACCATGTGAGATCGGATTGTGACTGATCACGTGCGTTGCAGCCTGGTGACGTGGCTTGTTCGTATGAGGATATAGAACTAACATACATGTATGATGTAGACCGATCCTAGCGATGGTCCTGACCTGGCTTATTATTATTATTTAATAATAATAATAAGCCAGGTATTATCTATTCTTCTTTTACTAGGGAATTCCCAACAGGCGTCAGCGCCTTTTTACAGGGAACCCTAGGTATAATTTGATGGATCAGCGAAATTCAGCTGGTGAACTAGACATGCGGCAAGCCGGTGGAAGTGTATTCCACCTGGCAGCGCCCAAATAAGAAATTGCACTAAAGCCATATCGGGTGTTAGCGAGGGGCAGAACAAGAGCAGCAGAGACTTGGCCACGGGTGGTGGCTGCAGTGCGAGCACCATGGGCGCGCAAGGTAAAGCGGTATCGCAGAAGAGGACTAGCAAGTCCATTCAGGCAGCGGTAAACAAATACATAGCTAGGTTTTGAAGTTGAGGCGTTTCTCAAGGGCGTACAAGTTAGTATGACTGTATAGAAGAGTGGTGGGAGTCATTCTATCCAACGAAAATATTATCTTTAATGCTACGCGGCTGGAAGTAAGAAGCTTGTCATAATTATAGGGTTTGTGATAAGCAATGAATATAATTATGCAGTGCTGCCAAACTCAAATGTGGACTGAATGATCGATAAATAGAAAAGTCGGTTGCCAAAAATGCTGATATTCTGCTTTGCATGGACAAATGCTCCGACCTTCCTATTGACATTTGCACCTACTGCATCCACTTGGGTTGAGAAAGACAGATGTTCGTCAACCAGTATTCCTAAGTACCGAGCGTAAGCAGATTGGACTATGGAAGTGCCCCGGCAGTTGACTGCGGTGCCAGGTGGCAGCTCCGTGCCCGGTCGCCTGAGCAGGACAAACTGAGTCTTGGACGGGTTTAACACCAGTCCCTTCTGATCTAGGTAGCGATCCAGAGCAGCAAGGTCAGCACTCAGCTGGGTTGTGATGATCTGGATGGACTTGTGCCTGAGGTGTGATATTGGTACGAGATATCAAAAGCAAAACGTGTTTTATCCAGTAAAAATATCACTATAACCAATATAATCGGATGTAATGATATACGAAGTAGTGGTTGCGACTTCGGCGATGATAGCGCGAGCTCCGGTGTGGGGAGCAAACCTTTCTTGTAATGATATATCGGATATTATGATGGCAACAAAGAATCAAAACATGCATAACACACTACATTATTATCGTCTATAGTGATAACTTTAAAATACTTGTAGCAATAATATCAAAGGCCCTATTTTTTTACTTTCTGCACGTTGTACTTCGTAAACCAGTGCAACACACCTGATCAGCGGAAACTTTGGTCAGCAATGAACACAGTCACAGGGCGACGGAAGGAACGTCAAATACCTCAGGTTTCTGTTGAGGATCTCGGCCAGGTCTTCGGTGAAATTGTCAATGACCCAAGCAGACCACAGAATCTGCACCCGCCACTTGGGCCAATGCCAGCCAACAGTCTTCACGTCTTCAAACCTGTAAGTGTTGCAGATGTTGAAAAGTGTCTTAAAGCTGTGGATCCATTCAAAGCTGCCGGCAGTGACTCTGTACCTGGAATTGTCCTGCGGCAATGTGCAAATGTGCTTGCTCCACCACTTTCCTGTATCATTAATAGTTCACTACAGAGTGGTGTTGTGCCCACCACGTTCAAGCACTCCCACATCAGTCCCCTGCATAAAGCCGGAGACCGCTCATCAGCCCGCAACTACAGACCTGTATCCTTACTCCCTATCGTTTCGCGTATCCTAGAGCAGTTTGTGAAGAGACAGCTGACAGAATATCTGTACAGCAATGATTTATACCCGATGACTCAATTTGCATACCGACCCCGCCATTCAACAGAAGATGCATTGGTACTAGCAGTGAATCGCTGGCTATTGGCGAAATCCGAGCGCAAGTACACCGGTTTGGTTATGATTGATATGTCGAAGGCGTTTGATCGTGTACAACATGAGAGGCTGGTTAATGAACTGTACACCCTAGGCATTGGAGGAGCACCCCTACACTGGTTCTGTGACTACCTCAGTGGCAGGTCACAGCAAGTGAGGGTGCTGGACAGCTTGTCTTGCTCTGTTGGCTGTACGCGTGGTGTTCCGCAAGGGAGCGTTCTTGGACCCATTCTCTTTGTGTTGTACACCCGTAATCTGCACACAGCACTTCCTGCAACTGTCAATCACCAAGAATTTGCTGACGATATAATCCTTGATTTCTCCCATCCTGACTTAGATTTTGTTGGCAGAACTCTGACGAGAGCAGTAACTGATATCTCCCGATGGCTTGAAGACATCGGCCTCGTAATGAATGCCAGCAAGACTCAGGTCATGTTCGTTCAGCCTCGTGGCGCAGCCATTGCCACGCCCGATGTTTTCTGCAACAACGAGCAACTGGAGGTGACGGCCACCGCAAAATACCTTGGTGTGATCGTCGACGACCAATTGTCATGGAGGCCACATGTCGACTATGTGTCACGTAGAACTGCACAAACCATAGGGCAATTGTGGAGACACGGGCGTTCACTAACGCTTAGAGCTCGACGGTCGTGGTACACCAGTATGGTAAACAGCCAGCTGTGTTATGCTTCAGCAGCATTCTACCCAAGCCTCACAGCTCAGCTTCTCGACCGTTTGGGGAAGATCAGCAAGGCTGGAGTCAGAGCTGTGTTTCAGCTCCCTCGTCAAACACCGACCGCACCTCTTATTTCTAGATTAAATATTTCCCCACTGATCCACCATTTTAAGCTCAAGATTGTTGTTTTTGTCCATAGATGTCTTGCCTCCAATGCAAGCATGCTATTTTCGCCTTTCTTTCTGTTGATCGCTGAACCTGGTCTTGAGCAAAGCACACGCCGTGTTACACGTGGCCAGGTCTCACGTCTTCTCCAAATTCCATTCGTTCGTGGACCAGCATCTCGAGCGTCCATGCAATTCGTGGGCAGCGTGTATTGGAACAGGCTTCCGGCAAATATTCGTTGCCATGAAGATATTCTGGGTTTCAAAGCCCTGCTGTGCCCAGATGTTCTTGACACGCTTTCTCTGTCTTGACTCATTCGTCAGACATGTGCATTTTGATCTTTTGGTTTGGTCTCTAATCGACAAACTGACTTTTCTCCTCAAATACCTCAACTTCTCTATTTCTATTTCATACATCTGCTTCGTTTATTCCTTACTCTTTTCTTTCTATCTTTTTTCTTTTCTTTCCCTTGTCATTTAATCACTGTCACTCACATACAAATACCGTCATAAAATATAAAACACAAGATTTTCTCATCTTTTTTCTATTTCTTGTTTTTCATTAGCTTTAGCATGTTCATTCACATTCTTCATCATTTGTGAGAACTAGATCTGGTCTAGTGAGAAGGCATTCTACTGCCTGTAATTCTGGTGAAGTAAAATAAAGTAACAACAACAACAACAACGTTGCCTATTTTTATCGTGATTTAGAATCAACTCATAAAAACTCCAAGTCAATCTCCCATTGACACAAACCTCGTTTATTGAACATAATCATATCCTATCCAATAAAAACAGTTCATAAAAACAGTTCATAAAAACAGCTTTTTAGGATCGGACCCAGTCCGCATAACCAAGAGAGCTAGCTCCCTTGGCTGCTGTTGGAATATGCAAGAATGGGCCTTCCAGATAAGGTCTAACAAGGAGCAGTGGCTATAGTTATGAAATGAACACCGGTAACCATGGAGACAGACCACACTCTCATTATAGATACTGGTTATAAATAGACCGAATAAGGAAAATGATCTGATAGCCTATGAAGACTAAAAGAAATTGAACCAATGACAACAAATACTCGTCCAGCACACGGGTTGTCATAGCAACACAAATAACAGCTGTCCGCTAATTTTGTTGTTGGAGATTGAGTAGGAGTTTTTACTGGTTGATTCTAAATACAATAAATGAGGAGGCCGAGGGTTTATGACCAATAAAAACTATTATAAAAACCGAGGTCCCCGAGGTTTTTATAATTAGTTTTTATTGGTCATAAACCCTCGGCCTCCTCATTTATTGTATACATAATAATGTACATGTACATAACAGAATTATTCTATGGAAATGCGGGCACTGTCAACTAGCTATGCAGCATGCTCATTTCAATGATTTGTCAAAACGCCATGCTGGAAGTATTTCCTTGCCTTTCATGTGTCAATCGAAAAAGAAAAAAATCGATCGTATCGCATAATTTATGGTGATGCATCGGTTATAGTGATAAAATCACGGAAATCAAAAGGGTATAGCCGATACAGACTGTATTAATTTTTATGCGTTGCAACACGCTGGATAAGGATCAATGA